GGTGAGTGGAGTACGGGGTGGGGTATCTAGGGTGCATGGTGTCGGGGTTGGGGGGCGAGGGGTGAATCGTCGGTTGTGAGTTCAGAGTTTGTTTGGGGGGGTATGTCGGAGGCAGTTTGGGGGGCTGTGCGGTCGGCCGGGTGTGTTGTTATGTCGAGTGTCCAATGGCGCCTCCTCAACTGCCCGAGCTCGCCCTTCCGCGCGTGCTCCACGCTGCGTCCCGCACGCCGGGTGGCAGGCGGCGCTCCGGTGCACGGCCCGCCCCCCCGCTCTGCGCTCACAGCGCTCCTTGCTTAATGACCGACCACCGTCGCTCGGGGGAGGCGCCGGTTAGTAACCCAACCTGCGACCCACCCCTGCCTCTCCCCCGGTCAAACTCCCAACCCCCAGGGTCAACGGCTTCACCCACCTGAACCTGACCAAGCTGGACGTGCTGTCAGACCTCAAGGAGATCAAGGTGGGGTTTTTTGTGAGGTTGGATCAGGGCAGCGTTCAGGAGGTTGGAGCGGGATTTGGGGGCCTGGGGCTGGGAGGGGTTGGCTGAGCTGTTTGATCGCCGGGGGCATTCCAGGGGCACTGACCACGAGCGCCTTATGGTCGGGGTGTGGGGCGTCGCGGAGGGTGCCGGCAGGCGAGCGGGCCGTCGGCGGGCACCGCACCCGCCGCCAGCCCGGGCGCGCCTCGCTGCGCGCCTGCGCTGCGCCCCAACCCCGTCTGCCCCACGCGTCGGTCCTTCCCTGCACAATAATGCGCGCACCATGCATCTATCAGCAGCACGCCCCCTCTCTCACCTCATCCCCGCCAATTAATCAAACATCTCACCCAATCGCCACCCCCCGCACCCCCGCCAGGTGGGTGTTGCGTACGTGACCAAGGACGGCAAGCGCCACACATCATCCATGCCGGCCGACATCCCGACCCTGGAGCAGCTCGAGGTGGAGTACGAGGTGCTGCCCGGCTGGTGCTCCGACATCAGCGGCGCGCGCCAGTGGGGCGACCTGCCGCCCGCCGCGCAGGCGTACGTGCGGCGCGTGGAGGAGCTGGCGGGGGTGGAGGTGCGGTGGATCGGGGTCGGGCCGGGGCGCGACGCGGTGGTCACGAAGCCCTCCCAGTGAGCCCCGCGGGCGGCGGCCGTGGCGGCTGGTGATGCGCGTGCGGCTGCAGCTGTGGGACGGCGGTGGCGGCGCGCCCTCCTGTCACAGGGGGCGGAGAGGCGTGTTTGTGATCGATGCATCGGCTGCATTGCCTTCCTTCCAAAAAACTTCATGTAACTCCGATTCAATGGCGCCTGGGTTGTGCTAGGCAAGGGGTGACGCGTGACGGAAGCGGTGCGTGAACCATGGCTCGGCCGCTGGCAGGCGGCCGTCAGGGGCGGTGTAACGCGCTGTGCGTGACCGCAGGTCGGGAGGAACCTGTGCACTGTATCAAGCTGGGTGAACGGCTACGACGGGTGGGAGGATTAGAGGGCTGCATACATGTCCCAGCAAACCACAGAGACTTGAAACGCCATTTCGGTCGCAGCACTGTTATGCTCTTGGTCGCGCTGTGGTGTGTGCTGGTCAACTTGTCGGCACCCAACACCAGGCAGCGAGCGGCACTGAGTGCCTGAGTCACAGGGCTGACGCCATGCAACTATACTTCAAAAGCACAGGGTATTGTGGCCCTCTAGTGGATGCAAGAGAGCTTCTGAGCTTCGAGAACGAACAGCCGTATGTAGTCCGAGACTCGAGTTGCCTTATCAGTTTACCTGCTGGCTGCAGTTGTGCGGCTAAATTTTTAGTTTATCACAGTCTTAGCGCTGTAGTTGAGGACGTAACCATTTGATTGCAAAGATCGCCTTGTGCGAGCGTACAGCCCTGCGCCCAGGCAAGCCCAGCAAGGTGTACAACAACAAGATGTCGCTGTCACTTGCCACCGCGCCGTGCAGCATGCAGCGCGGCATGCTCGCCGGGCAGCAGCGAGTGAACCCGCCGACCACACCTCGCCACGCCGCGCTGCTGGCGCCGAGCAGGAGCGGCGTGCTGCACAGGTACGGGCGCTGGAATGGCAGGAGAATGGAACTGCTCTGTTGCAACCGCATGCATGCGGCGGAGCCGTGGCCCCTCCAGCTCGCGCCACGC